CCATGATCGAGTCGCATTTGTGTCACTTGAGTGTGTGATACACGTCCAAAAAGTGTCGAGCTTTCCCAGCAAAATGGGAAGTGTTTCATAGTCACGAAAGGATTGAAGTGCTTGGAAGCAAGGTACCATAGAAAGTAAGATTGGGAAAATGAGGAATTAAACGTGGGGACCAACCCTTAACACCATTCCTATGAATGTTGGCGTCGCATAATTAATGCTTATTGTTGTGTGACTCCTTCAAACTGCTCCAAATTTCCCTATCATCTTCCTTTCTTTCCAATCTTATCATTCCTCAACAATCCACAGCTGTATCTTTTGTTTCAAAGGATAAAAAGCTTGCAGTTTCATTACTTTTATATGTAATTAATTTTCGACACCCCAAATAGATGGTTCACCCGTGAAAAATTATAAAATAACAAATAAATTTCTTTCTAAAATATGAATAATATTGCAGCCATTATATACACAGAAATTTTAAACTTCTAGAATATAAACAATTTTTATATTATTTTTAATTATTACTAATCATGAGAAATGTTAATTATATAAATAATTTTAAATATTATATCTTTATTGAAGCATTTTATGTTAAATTTGTGAGTATCGTGTCAGTTACTTAATTTAGATTAAAAATAATAATTTCAAATTTTCGATAGATAAAAAATATAAAAAAATTTTAAAAAATTATTTCATAAGAACTAAAAATATATTTAAATCATAATTATAGTTATCTTTTAAATATGAGAAATTAAAAAAAATTACTTCATATTTTTAGAGACTAAAAATATGTTTTAATTTATAAATTATAAAGAAAATTAAAAAACTTTATGTTGTTATTATTAGAAATTTTACTTCTAATATTTAATACGGACTATATATATATTATTCGTAGTATTTATATAAGTTATTTACATTTAGTTGAACTCAGTAAAAGTGATCTAATTTTAATTAACCTTTAGACTATCAAATAGAAAAAATTGATATGAACCTAAATCGAATTTGGTCCATTAAGAGTTAATGAAAATCCTAATAAATTTAAAATGTTAAAGATGATTATAGTCTCTAATACGTTAAATCAGAAGAATGTCTCTCTTCCCAACACAAGAGAAACATTTGATCTTTATTTACGGAATCTGGTGATTTAACTGAGAAAAATCATTAAATCAAAAGATTATTTCAGTGTAATCTCCGGTGAATATTAATAGATCCAAATATAATTTAAACTCAAGAATATTGGTAATTTAACATAATGTATATGATTTAATATTTGGTAATTTTCAAAATTACAACCGTTGTAAATGATATTTAATTATTTAATAATTTTACATGAGATTTAATTATTTAAGTAATTAATAATTTGATATAAAACATATTTAAGTAATTAATAATTAATAAAAAAATAATTCGTAATATAAAAGTTGTTTATATTTTAGAATTTTAGAATTTCTTGGTATTTGTACCGTCCAGGTAAAAATCCGACTTGACCTTCTGCTCGGCTAATACCTGACTAGGTTACCAGGTTACCAGGCTACAAGCCTTTTCGCCTTATAGGCTCAAGGCTGGAAGGCAAGTGTACCGTCCAGGTCAAAATCCGACTTGGCCTTCTACTCGGCATTAACCCGACTGGGTCCTCGGTATGGACCTAGTCGGTCGGAATCCGACCAGATTCGTTTCCCTTTAACCCCGTGCCATCATGATAAGAAACGGTTAGAGAAATCCCTTCATTCTGGGGGCCCAAGAGGCCCATGAACGATATCATAAAACCCAAAACTCTAGAGTCGAAGAGACAGATTACACTTTTGAATGCTCTGACTTTGAGGTTCGCCATAGGACGAAACCCTAGCGCACCCTTTGGCCGGAACAGTATTAAATATAACTGCAGTAATATTATTCATATTTTCAAATGAAACTTATATACTATTCGATAATTTTTCAATGAAAAATTTCAATTAAACTAATATAATAGTATTTTTACTGTTACATACTGTAGCGAGCACTGTACCAACTACAGTGCCGTCCCCAGACTAGTATTCAATAATTTTAAAATAAAAAATTTTCAATTAAACTAATAGAATGATATTTTTTTACTGTTGCGGGACACTGTAGCCCTCTATCTCAAATTTTATATCCATTCCCATTTTTAATGGGTCCAGAATTTATCTCTCCATTTTTATTTATGCTAGAATTTGTCCTAATTTTCATAAAAAATACTGTTATTCATAATTTGATTAATGAAAGAGAATATGAGTTTTTATTTTTTGTCTAAACTACTAATTAAATTAGAATAAGTATACATCAATCGCTTTATGTGTTCGATAATATTTAAATAATTTAAATAATAAAGAAAATAAATATATTGGAGTGACACTCTCGCTTTTATGTATGAAAAATCACTAATTTCTTAGTTGTTTATTTTTCATCTAAATTTCATGTGCGAAAATTGTACTATTCTATAAACTGGAAATTAATAATTGCATTATATGGAGAAAAAAAAAATATGATGTGAAAATCTAAAAGGCCAGGGGTAAAAAGCTTTTTTTTTTTTCTTTTCTTTTTTTCTTTCTGCTTCAGCTTATTATATGTAAACTTATATGGATTGTATTTTTGGGAAGGCAAATAAATGTTATTAATACTGAGAGTGCAAAGAGTAGTCTTAACTATATAAAAGAAGAAGAATAAAGTCCAGTCTAAATTGTATATATGAACTATTTTGAATATATATATATATATATATATATATATATATTATAAAATA